TCACAACAACATGCTCCGACGATCCAGGCTCCCCCACCACTCCAGGCTCCGCGCCACTTCTGGATCCCCCACCACTCCACCCTCGCCCGCCACTATAGGCTCCCCTGCCACACCATGCTCCCCCGCCACTACAGGCTCCCCCACCACTCCAGGCTCCCCTGCCACTCCTGGATCCCGCACCACTCCACCCTCTCCCGCCACTTTAGGCTCCCCCGCCACGCCGGGCTCCTCCGCTACTCCATGCTCCTCCGCCACTCCAGGCTCCCCCACCGCGCGTCCTTCGTCCTCCACTACAGGCTTTCCCGCGACTCCATGTTCCTCCGCCACTTCATGTTCCTCCGCCACTTCAAGCTCCTCCGCCTGCTGATCTCGCCCCATCTCTGGACCCGACTCCACTCCGTCAGAATGTCCTCAAGAAAATGTGCAACACATTAGGGACGAATGATCTTTCATTCAGTGGAATTGGAGCGTTGCTAATTTTGGAATACAAACTCACCACAAGTCATAATATCGATGTCCTCTATGTGACACATAGACTCAGCCGCCTCCCTGATAAAATCGTGAGTGATGTCGTCCCGATCGGCATGTGTAGGATGCGGATCAAAGTCAAACGGGGTATCAACGTCGACCCACTTGATCCCCAGAATTCGAACAAACTCGTCGGTTTCCCCACCGGCAGCTCTCACATCAGGAGGTGTTGAATCGACGTTTCCGTCTCCTATACCCTCCACTAAGCTCATGTTGCCCTTCCATCCCCCCCTCTCGCTCCATGCCCCTCCGTCGTTTTGCCGGTGGTACTACCGGCTTCGCCCTGACTCTCAGCACCTTCCGCATCTCCAAGAATGCCCATATTGTGAGCAACCTTTGCCGATTCGTCAAAATGAATCCTTCCCAGTTTCGCACAAACGTGGTTGATCAGTGTTTTTTAGTTGACCGCGTACTCACACCTTTCCCCGCACCCCAGTTTAGCTTCAGCCACTCCAACAACTCCTTCTGGGAAACCAACCATAACTCGGAACATGACTTGGCCTTCTCCATTGTCATAGTACCCACTTGTGCCTCCACAAAGTCCATCTCACACAGCCTCGTCAATGCTCGACATTTGTGCCAAACGTATATCTTATGGTTGATGTCCGTAACAACCAATTCCCTCTTGAATGAGGCTCCATCATCACTTATGATCCTGGTCACATTGAACCCCCACTTTTTCAATTTCTTCAACCAAGCTTGAATGCAACCCCTTCCAACACTGTCGATGACTTTCCCTAATCTTTTTTACATACTGTCACAGTCAACAAAATTTTCCGTGAGCGTGGATCCGTGAAAGTGACTGTGCACCACTGCGCCTCCCGTGCCTGTGACCAACGCCCATCCACGGAAATGTATCCATCTCCATGTTTGCGCAGCTGCATGTCTCGTCAGGCTTTGGTCATGCTCTCTTCACCATGAACGATGATAGCCTCCCACAAATCGTACGGCCATCGCATGTAACGGTAGAAGGTCTCCCTCCCAATAGACCTAAACCTAAGTGTCCGACTAACCTCCGATAGCTGTTGGAAGCATATTCCTGCCATAACAAATGCCCTCAGGAACCGCGAAAAAAAGCAAGGAGGTCTTTGGGCACTGTTTGCCTAAACCCCTAGTGACTTTGCCCCTTTCAATAGACCAAAACTGTATAGCCTTGCCACGCGTATCATAGACCCACAAGACCCCCAACGTCGCCCATGCCATCTTGCACGAGCGCACGACCAATGAACCGTTACACGGGGTCATCTGACAACATACCACTCCCAGACTCATGAAGAATTGTAACAATACAATGGGGTCTAACAGACATACCGCCCTTTGAGGCGACCTACGGCAGTGCTAGCCGACAAAGGTCAGGAACGAGCGAGCGCCTTTGATAGGGGTGCTCGAGCACGTTCTGCTGTTAACCTGTAGTGGGGTCGAAATGTAAATGCACTGGAAAGATGGTAAGTCTTGAATCGGTGATGCCGTTTTATATTGAGTGAGATTGTACAATTTATGAAGTTACAAGCATTTTACCCAAACAAGCTAGGGACGCTCTTGTACAAGGCCACACACCCAGCTTATCTAAAAAATAGCACATACCCATCAAGCTGGGGCCAGATTGCAGCAGTAAAGGCAGTTGCCCTATCGCTCGGACGCTCCCGCTCGGATGCCCTTCCAGCTCCATCCCCCTCATCGTGTCCATCAACAATGGGGCCATCCCCTCACCCAACCCTCTCCCCTCTTCCACATGCCCCACATCGTCCACCGGGGCAAACTCCTCCACATTAATCTCACGTACCACAAATGGCGGATCCATAACGGGAGATCCTCCATTCCCACTTACATCATGCTCTCCTCTTGAAGCAGCTGTATCATGTCCAAACGTTGCATATGAGATATGGCACACGAGCATGATTTGATATAGGTAAAACCTTTACAAACAAGGTGGAGTGCAAGTTGTGAGCCCCACAAAATCAAGATAAGTCACATGTCATTCCAGTGGGGCAAATGGGGGCAGGGATGCGCAAGACAACTTGAACAAAACTCTTCATGCGACAGTATGCCAGTGTAGCGTTTCCCCATGTGGTTTGTGAAACACACCTTGACATGGACATACCAGCATCGTGTAGTGCTTGATATGCCGGTCCCCGCCGGTCACCTCCATGGCCATGTCCATTATCCGGCACAAGCACACCGTCCTCGTTGAGATGGTAGGTATCGAACTCATAAACGAAGCCGCCCAATGATAGCGGCTTCCTCATGAGAAGTTGCGCCTCGTCAACATTTTCCCCCGGTTGGCTCATGAGGAAGGATGCTCGCTGTGCTACCAATTGTAACTTTGTCTGAGCTTTCACCAGGGCGCCATTCCCATCTACCATAAGCATCGAGGTTTGGGCATGTAAGATTGGTGTTGACGAGTTTCATTGTACAAACCATTGGTGCGCAATTGTATCAAGGTGACACTTACAACTATCTGTTGCTGCATTAATAAGCTTCACAACGACATCAGATGCTGAAATTATGAGGACGTGCAGCACATCGTTAAACGATGCCTCTCTCCGCACCAGTGCCGATAAATCGCACCACATAATGGTTACAGGGAGGACAGACTGTTTCCCCAGCCCCACATGCATTTGCTTAACACCCCCCATGATGTTTTTTAGTGCTTTTACAATGTCTCCCTCTTGTTCTTACGACCACATGCCAATTTCATATGCTAGTACTTGTAGTATTGTTACATGCAGCATCACACAACACGGACCACTCACCTTGGTGCCATTATGACCCACTGCAAAAATGTTTGTTAGAGGAAACTCCACAATCGGAATGGTGTTGTCGTGTGTGGCCTGCTGGGAGGAACAATGAGAGGACCTGCGCGCTAGGTTATGCCATCTCTAGCGACATTAGTCACTCCCTTTACCTTGACCTAATCACCATCCTAAAACCCCCGTTTGACAATACCTATTGTCTCATAGCACCGACTTTTCCCAACTTACAGCACCTCCCATCCACTTCTCACAGCACCTCCTTTCCCCCTCTCACATCACCTCCCTTCCCCCTCTCACAGCACCTCCCTTACCCCTCTTACAGCACCTCACTTCCCCCTCTCACAGCACCTCCCTTCCCCCTCTCACATCAACTCCCTTCCCTCTCTCACAGCAGCTTCCTTCCCCCTCTCACAGCACCTCCCTTCCCCCTCTCACATCACCTCCATTCCCCCTCTCACCGCACCTCCCTTCACCCTCTCATAGCACCTCCCTTCCCCCTCTCAATGTGTGCGATGACCGATCATTGGAATGCAGTGATGGTCACGCTGGAGACGTTAGCAGCTGGAAAGAGAGGCCCTGGAAACTAGAGGTTGAGGGCGGCACAAGCAAAGAAGCGGGGTGTCAGGGAAAGTGTGAAGCGGGCTCTCAGAGACGCCGGAGGTGACCTGGTAGTGCTGCTTCCATGACTGACATCCATTTTACGGGCCTACTCACGAAAAGAGAGGAAAAGGATCAAGGCGACCAGGGTACACCTGGAACAAGAGGTTGAGTTTTTTTGGAGACAATTGTCACGGAACCCAGACTGCCTGCGCACGGGAGCTATCCTGCTAAAAAAAGAGAGCTTCTAAATGCATACGAGAAGAGTCACATGGAGAACCTGCAGGCGTGGGCTCGCATAAATTCAGAGCTGGATGGGGAGACGTCGTCCGGTTTTCTGTCCGGAAAGATTAAGACGCGGAAATCCAGGACGGGGTTGCATGAGGTCAAGGGGCAGACCTATGCTAGGGCAAGGGAAGTACTCACAGCGGCGACGGATTTCTTTGAAGAGTCGTTCGGTGGTGGGGACGAGGCTGACGCCGAAAGCACGGAACCGGGTCTTCTGCAGCGCACCTTGGGGAAGGCCAGCAAGGAGGCACTCAAGGCGCCGTAGTCGGAAGAAGAAGTGCAGACGGCGATCCAAGAACTGGCTCCAAGGAAGGCACAGGGGCAAGACGGTCTTCCGAAGGAGTTATTCGAGCACAACTGGGATCTGCTTGGGCCGTCGCTGATGCATTTCGTGGACAGTTTCACCCGCACTGCGAAGCTCCCCAGTAGCGTCTCGACGGCGGTTACCATACTGCTGCATAACAAGGGGAGCAAAGAAGAGTTAGGGAACTATAGTCCAATATCCCTGCTCAGCACCGTCTACAAGGTGTTGGCAAAGGTGTTGGCGACAAGGCTTAAGAAGGTGTTGCATGAGGTAATCTCGGATGACAAAGTTGGTTTTCTACTAGGGCGGAGGCTGGCAGACGCGGTTACGGTCGTGGCGGGCGCCATTGAAGCAGGGGCCAGCGGCAGAGAGGATTGGTACCTGTTGATGGTTGATTTTAAGAAGGCATATCGAGGCCCTTCCTTTTCCGCACGTTGAGGAGTATGGACATCCCGAAGGAGTACGTGACATGGGCAGAAGGGCTGCACAGGGAGACAAGAACGAGGATGCACGTGAACGACTGGAATTGGGATACAGTTGCGGTAAAGAGAGGGGTGCAGCAGGGTTGTCCCTTGGCCCCTTACCTTTTCCTTTCGGCGGTGGAGCTGCTATGTCAGGAGCTGGCGAAGTGCAAGCTGGGGTGCGGAGCAGCTGCCAGTCGCGGCAGGCGTATTGGACGACTTCGGCAAGAAGTCGAGGCTGAGGGTGAACCAGGACAAGACGGTGGTGTTTCCTTTGGGGAAAAACAGAGGGAAACCGCCGCCGCCAGATCTGCAGTACAAGTGGGTCAACAAAGGAGAACCGGAGCGCCTTCTAGGTCTATGGATCATGCCAAATAGAGACCTGTTGCCATCCTGGGAGAAGGCACTGGACAAAGCACGGAAGGAATTAGCCAAGTGGGAAGTGCAACATCTGACGACATCGGCAAGAGACACGATCGTAAATAGATACATTACGCGGGTTTTCATGTTCTGAGCATACATCTACCCGCCTCCGGAGGAGATTTGGACGATAGTCAGGTGGATCTGCCACAGATTTGTGTCAGGAGGGCAAGCGACAAATGAGAAGGTTTTCATTCTTTGGAACAACGAGGTGATGTGTACACCCAGAAAAGAGGGAGGGCTGGGGATGCTATGTCATAAGAAGAGGTTCGTTAGTGTGGCGATCCAGAACGTGGGACTGATGCTGCAAGAGAACCCGGTTAAGAAGTGGTTGACATCATGCGCAGTCGCGATGCCCCAGGGTCCGAATACGTTCTTCGTGCACAAGTCCATGTTTAAACACTGGAAGGAAGGGAGGTGGAAGGAAATAACGCGAGCTTTCTGGGATTCGCCTTTCTGTGTGCCTCCTGAACCAGCAAATCGGTGGGAAGTGGAGCGCGAATGGCTTGCGTTCAACCGGCGCATACCTTTCAGAGGGGCCAGTCCCTTCGAGAACCAGAAGGGCTCGAGCTGCTTACTGAATTTGACGATGGGGGACCTGGTGCAGCGGCTGGGGAGTGGAGAGCGGGAGCTCAAAAGTGAGGAGGCACTGACGAGGGAGCTCGGCAGCAAAGATGTGGCGAAGCTGGCATTGAAAGCTTTCGCGGCGGCACCGGTCGAATGGAGGAACCTGATCTTGGAGAAACTGACGAGCGAGGAGGTTGCCACCAAGGTCCCACTCCTGCGGAGTCAAGGCAGGGCACCTGCAAGTCGCACGACGTGGAAAGTCAGCGGCACGGACGGGGACAAGGTGGTGGGAAGGTTGTGTGCAGTAAGCAGCGACCGTACCTTCAGGGCATGCGAAGGGAATAATCTAACAGTCAATTTCGGTCTCCATAGCGGAGAGCCACTGGCAATCCAAGGCAATAAGGTGTTGGGGCTGATGGGTGAGGCGCGTACCAAGCTCCTCCAGTCAAAACTGTGTGCAGAAGGGGAGGTGCTACCGCTGAGGAAAATCAGGAAAACCCTGGCTAGCTCGGCAGGCACCGTAAAGGCATAGAGAAGATGGGTCGGGGATGGGAGAATCATCGAGTGGAAGAGGGTCATCAAGGAGAGGGACTCTCTTGCCACGCTCGCTCGGGCACGAGAAATTTTGCTGCGGCTTTACTGTAGAAACCTACAGGTGGGGGAACAACTTTTCTTCCTGAAAATAAGGTATTCTGCCAGCACTGCAAAGGGGAGGAGACACCAGAGCACTGCCTGCTCGGCTGCCCGACAATACAGAGAGTGGTGCGGTTTCTGCAAAGTGGGCTGGCCGCAATGAACCCGCAGCACGACTGGCAAGGACACGAGGACCTGCTATTTATGCAAATGAGCACGCATTCAGGTTTTCCTGAGAGTTCTCTTATCGCACCACGTTTCATCAGGTGTGGCTGGCAAGATGTGACGCGGTAAATTGGGACATCAAGTTTCAAGCGAATAAAGTGCTGCGTCAGGTGGTGGTTAAATTTGTCGCGCATGAAAGAGTGTACTGTACTGTTTGGCCAAGCAAGTGGTGTCAGATTACAATTGTATCTCTAGCCTATAGTAGGGTCACTCCTCAGTGAGTACAACACTTAAGGGTTAGGTTTCCCCTACTTGTACTCACCTCTTACCTAGTTCAATCATTCATTCCTAGTTCTATTCTTGACATGTTATCAGAGTAGGAAGTGTTCCTACATGGGCCCACCGTTCCGCCTAGTGGTAGCGCCACACCCTACATAGTAGCCAGCGCGCTGGCGCCCCTAGCTCTCACTGTCGCGACCCTTGCAGCCCGTGCGCTGCCCCTGCGACCACGCTGTCCCTGCAGCCGTGCTCGCCCCTACAACCGTGCTGCCCCTGCAGCCGTGCTCGCCCCTGCTACCGTGTTGCCCCTGCAGTTGTGCCTGCCCCTGTGGCCCGCGCGCTGCCCCTGCAGCCCGTACGTCGCTCCTGCAGCCCGTACGTCGCCTCTGCAGCCCGTTCACGCTGCCCCTGCAGCCCATTCACGCTGCCCCTGCAACCCGTTCACGCTGCCCCTGCAGCCCGATCACGCAGCCCCTGCAGCCCGTTCACGCGGCCCCTGCAGCCCGTTCACGCTGCCCCTGCAGCCCGTTCACGCTGCCCCTGCAGCCCGCGCACAGACCTACCGAGCCGCGCGTCGCCCCTGGAGCCCGCGCGCCGCCTCTGCGGCCCTTTCGCGCCGCCCCTACAGCTCGCGCGCGGACCTGCCTGTCAGAATGTTATTATCTAGCCTGTAGTGGGGTGCTCTATAGCGGGTACAACCCAGTTAGGGTTTGCTATATGTATCCCAACTGCTGCTAGTGAAACCCCTCCTTTCTTCAATTCTGTTTCTGCCTGCTAACTATGACATGGTTTGAGTGCAGGTCGACCCCCTTGGGTCGATCCTGTTGGTGGGCCCACCACCTAACTGCTTCCGCTGCTACTCTATCTGTTGCACCCCCCGTGGCGTGCGACGCCTTCGAATTTTTTTTAGGGTTCTCTGCCCGCCGTGCGCCCCGGGGCGCGCGGCGGTTTCCTACCGTGGGGGACCCGCGCGCAGCCCCCCGCCCTTCCCGTCGCGTCGCCCTGCAGGCCGTGCACGGGCCTGCAGGCCGCGCGCGGCCCGTTTGCCCGTCGCGCGGCCTTGGGGACCCGCGCGCGGCCCCCGCCCTGCTCGTCGTGGCGCCCTGGGGAGCACGCGCGGCCCCCGCCCTTCTTGTCGCGGCGCCCTGGGGAGCCGTGCGCGCCCCCCGCCCATCCGTCGCGGCGCCCTGGGGAGCCGCGCGCGCCCCCTTGCCCGTCCATTTTGGCGCCCTGAGGAGAGACGCGCGGCCCCTCCTGTACCATCCCCCCCCCCCCCCCCCCCCCCCCCCCCCCCGTGCTGCCCATTCCTCTTGTGCTGCCGTGCGTTCCGCGGTGGTGGGGGGTGTGGGGTGGCGAGCATGGGGGTGCGCGGTGTGGGTACTCCCCTTCCCTCTCCCCACCTCCTTGTTTGTCTCCCACTGCTGCAGCTGCTGCTGAGGGGGATGGAGGTGTGGGAGCCGAGGGGAATGGCGCTAGGGGGGTGACGTGGGAGTGGAGTTAAAGGTTCAGCAGGGGGTGTGTGTCAAGGGTGTGGGTCAGTTGGAGGAGGTTGTGTGGAGGTAGCTGTCGTGTCGCCTGCAGCACCTGTAGTCCGTCGCCCTTGCTTCGGTAGCCAGTGAGCCTGTTGCACCAGTCGCCAGTGGGTCCGTTGCTCCTGCCGCTCGTCTTAGCCGCGGAGCCAGTCACTCCAGTAGTCCGTCGCCCTTGCTTCGGTAGCCACTGAGTCAGCCGCTCCTGTGCCCGTGCCTCTGCAGCTTCAGTCGTTGCCT